AACTCCTTACTCTTCTTGCAGTAGAAGGTGAGTAGTGTTTGGGCCTGGTAGTGACGAAAGGTGTCCTGTAGCTGACGCGAGCACCGCAGGGTCAGAGTGTGAACCCTGGTCCTCCGGTCTCCTGTCTGGAGGGTGTAAGATAAAACAACCTGACACACAGGACAAAAGGAAAAAAAAAACAGGTTTAGTGTACAGCTAACATGTAAACTGGTTCCCAGTATGTGCAGCTACCGTTTCATCGATACATTGATATCACCTTATTTGTAAACTACATCAGCAAAAAAGCTTTAAAATTGTCACTATAATGGATTTAAATGACAGACCCACCTGTATGGCTACGCCCCTCGTCTCATCCAGAGCTCTGGTGTGTGCGAGCTCCACAGCCAGTGTGGTCCAAGTGTCGAGGGTGGCCAAGGTGACACGTCCAGGGTTAGAACCAGGAACAAACAGCCCGTAACAGCCAGACACGCGTAAATCTAGTGAGACGCGTACAAGTAATGGAAGCATTTCTGCAGAGCACTCCCTACAAAATCTTAACTAAGAAATAAATCTCACCTTTGCTGACAAATATCCTGAGCTCAGCCTTGTAGCCTGTGTGCGTCTCTACAGTCCTCTTTAGATCAGTGCTGAAACGCTCTCTGTCCAATTCTCCCTGTAGAGCATATAAAAAAGATACCAGTTTACAACCAGACCTCACAAAACATTTTCCAAATCGTCATTATACAGATACAGATAAAAGACCTCCTGCAGTGCTGATAAATCTGATGGCCTCTTTAATTTTCTCCCGATGGCTTTTTTCTAGCTCCATCTACTTGTCTGCTGATGTAAGAATCTAGACCTCCTGTTTTTATTCTTGGTTTAAAAAGCACAATTTGTCACATATATTTACACACATTTTAAACAAGATTTGTAAGAGTGAAGCAGAATGTAATTTGTCACCCCATTAGGATAACTAACTGCAGGCTGCAGGCTTCAAATTGAGCTGGACTGGAGTGTAGTGTCATTTTTTGTTACTGTATCTCCCATGTGACAACCTTCATGGTTATAAATATGCCATGTTTGATGTTGCAGTGTTTACAACCATCACTTAATTCAGTATTATTCAACATCCAGGATTTTAACCATTTAATTTGTGGAATTCTCAGTGAAACAGTAGGAAAAGCTGCTGATTTACCTGGAGGTGGCTGTAAGTGTGCAGAGCTCCACCTGTCAAATATGGAATGTCGCCTGGCCAAGCCCCACCCACATCTTGGTGAGAGAGGACAAACAGATGAACACCACATCCCTGACCGACGCACTCCTTGACCACTGACACGGCCTGTTCTGATGGCTGAAAGATGGACTGTGGGAGTGGGAGGAGAAAGAAATTTACATATGGAGGGGGGTCATTCGCCAAAGGATGAGTTCAACGGTTACATTGCGAACCTAGTACCCACAGGTGTTTACACCGTATAGCATTGAGATAGTCTACCTTTGGTTTGTTGGTGCCAAAGAAGCCTGAGCTTGTGTGTCCAGTCTCTATCAGAGAGGTAGTATGGAAGATCAGCAGCTTGCCAGGACAACCCAGACCCTAGTTTGTAATACAGTCAATTATGATTTTATCAATATTTAATGCAGCCACATCGCACAAAGAAAAACCTTTAATTGTGACATTTAGCCTAATGAAGTTTAGTGCAGTTATGCCAAACCTGTAGTACAGCAAGTCCAGCTTTGACAGGCAGCTCCATGGGAACTCCACCGGAGTCAGTTCCTTCTGTGTTGAACTGAGGAACGAGTTGTAACACGCTGCATGAAGAACAGAGACAAACAGATTGTGAAACTCATAA